AATAGAAGGCACCGTATACTATTGTAATTTGGTCACTTATACAAAATAAAGAATAAATAAAAAAAAATAACTGTTTTCTCTACGTATATAATTCAAGGCTGAGTACGTAAATAAACACGTAGCTTATATCACTAAGGATATTATAGTCCACTCTATTAATAATGTTTTCTTTATGAAAGAGCAAAAATTAAAATACTCTAATGTGGCTTAGAAATAAAGAAAAAAAATATAATACCATAAAATAAGAAAATGAAGTGTGTGTGTGTGGGGGGGGGGGTTAAGCTGTACTGTGTGGCTGACTCACTCGCCTCCGTCCTTCCCATATGAAGTCACAGCACACACACGTCTCAGTCAACTGGTTGACTGCCTGGCTGAACTGTGGTGTCACTTAGATGATGGTTTGAGTGTGGAAGGAGCTATTTTTTGTACATAAATTATGTGCTATTGTATTTTATAATATCCTATGTATTAATTTTTTTCGTTTACCATAGCAATTTTTTTTTAAAAAGCGGTTATACTGCTACAGGTGTCAGACATGTGAATAAATGACTCCGTTGCTTTTGGATTGTTGGACTAAATTAGAATTTTTACCAAAGTGGACAAAGTTGGGATACCTGGAACATTAAGATAGTTGGAATTCGGATAAAATGAATTGAACAGTAAATTAAATAAAGTCTATGACATTGGGTTTACAGTAATAGTGGAAACATTCTGCCTACAGAGGCTGGCCTGATATGAATGGGGAAGGTTGTTGGGTATTACTGGATTAGTACTGCAGGCACCAAATTTTACCAGGGAGTGCTGAATATTAATTCTGGTGCCCTAGATATTCGGTGGTGCAATGTATAGTACTTTATACCCACAATATTGGGGTGCTACAGCTCCCTCCCTTCCCACTTCCATGTACTGGGTGGAGTGAGCCAGCACACACACCCGACCACAACAACAACACCACCACTCTGGTGGCCAAGCATGGAGTACAGTGCGTTGAGTATTACCCATGTGGCCAAATATGGCAAGATTTTCCCAATAATTTTATATAACTTGGCATTTCCCGAGTTATTTCATAATAAATTCTGAGACCATACATGTGCCGAATTATGTGAAACTCTGAGATATCGAATACAGTGGTCCCTCGGTTAACGAGCGCCTCGGTTAACGAGATTTCGGTTAACGAGTTACCTCCAGTAAGATTCTTAAATTCGGTTAACGAGCAACCCCTCGGTTAACAAGTTTCTTACGAGCCGACCTCAACAAGTTTTGGCTTGCATTGGGCGGTCAACCAGCTGTAGTATTAGTCCGCCAATACATTAAAAGTTTAATATAAATTTTTTTAGTCATTTTAACAATTATTGAACATAATTGAAGGTAAAGTGACTAGTTTTATGCGCGCCATCCAGCCTCTTAACACAGGAAACAGGCGTTAGTCTCTCTCTGTTTTCACTGGAGGTAACATCTTGCTTGGGACTCTCTCCAACTAAATGCTTTTTTCTGTGTTTCCAAGCAAATTATTAGTCATTTTGAAATTTATTTTACATATTGACAATATATAGCACAGTGCAGTGTTATTTTAAAGAAAATATTCTTTATTTACAACAAGTTTAACTTTAAAAAGCACGTGTTGACATTGTTTGAATCCAGCATGGGGCCTAAAAGATCAAGAAAAGTGATTTCAATGCAATCCAAGCAGGAAATCATAAAAAAACATGAACAAGGCATTAGAACAAATGCGCTATGCAAAGAATATGGCATGTCGACATCAACTGTGTCGACAATTCTTGCACAGAAAGACAAATTTAAAGAAGTGAAAGTGAGAGACAAATCTACAAGAGTGTTTAAAAGTAGATCCCTAATTGCAGAAACTGAGAGGTTACTTATCATCTGGATTAGGGAAAACAGATGAAAGGTGATTCAGTTTCTACTGAATTCATTTGTGAAAGAGCCAGGGAGATTTACGAACATTTAAAGAAAGATCAACCTCGTTCTTCAGGCACAGAATTTGAAGATTTTCGGGCCAGCAAAGGCTGGTTCGAAAAATTTAAGAAAAGAAGTGACATTGTCAGTGTTGTTAGGCATGGTGAAGCTGCTAGTGCTGATAAGGAAGGGGCAGCAAAGTTTTTAGATGAATTTAAAGAACTGATGGAAGAAGAAAATTATCTTCCACAGCAAGTGTTCAATGTGGACAAAACTGGGCTGTTCTGGAAAAAGATGGCCAAAAGAACATTCATCACCAGAGATGAAGCCTCTTTACCTGGGCATAAACCCATGAAAGACCATCTCACTCTATTGCTTGGTGCCAATGCTTCAGGGGATTTCCGACTGAAGCCTATGCTTGTCTACCACTCTGAAAACCCCAGGGAGTTCAACCAACAGAAAGTGGTAAGAACAAAGCTTGGAGTTTATTGGAAGTCCAACCATAAGGCATGGGTGACAAGACAGCTCTTTAATGAATGGGCTGTTGATGTGTTTTGCCCTTCTGTCAAGAGCTACCTAACCACCAATAAACTCCCTTTAAAGGCTCTTCTCCTCATAGATAATGCTCCTGGTCATGACCCTGACCTTGCCAGAAATTTGGAGTATCAATTTGACTTTGTGAAAGTGTTGTTTTTGCCTCCAAACACTACATCAATCATACAGCCAATGGACCAGAATGTGATCAGCAACTTCAAGAAGTTGTACATGAAGAAAATGTTTAGGAGGTGTCATCAGGCAACTTCCAATGATCCTGAACTAACACTGAAACATTTCTGGAAGACACAATTCAACATCCTGGAGGCTGTAAAATTGATTGTGTCATCATGGCAAGAAGTCTCCACTAGATCCCTCAATTCTTCATGGAAAGTACTGTGGCCATCAGTAGTCCATGATTTTGAGGGATTTGAGGAAGAAACAGAGTTGGACCAGGAGGTTGTGTCCATTAGTCAGTCATTGGGCCTTGAAGTGGAGGAGGAGGATGTGGAAGAGCTTGTGATGTCTCATGAGGAGGAACTTACTCCTGATGACTTAAAGCAACTGGATGAGACGTTACAGGTAGAGGCTGACAGTGGTGAGGAGGAAATTGAAAGTGATGACCATATGTCAGCTAAACAGTTGAAAGATGTGATTTACTACTGGGAGAAGTTCAGGGAACTGGCTTCAAAGCACCCAGAAGTGGAAAAAACTGAACTAACTTTGTGTCATGTTGAGGACTCAGTGGTCTCCTTCTTTAAACATAAGTTAATGGTGAGGAGGACAGATGCCCCACAGACCACAATTGACACTTTTTTCAGTAAAAGGCAGAGGGAACAAGATGCTATCCCTCAGCCTTCCACTTCAAGAAGGAGAGAGGATGTTCATGGTGGAGAATCTGTCAGTCCAGAGGTTCCTGACATTTTCATGGAAGATGACTCACCTTTCAAGAAGCAGTAAAATGCTTCTCCTCCACCTCCACTTCCTTCTCTTCTCCCTTCTCCTCCTCCACCTCCCACTTCAAATTCACATCATCATCATCATCAAGGAGCCTTCTACATACACACCTCAAAGTAAGTGAACTTTTCTATCTTTTTTGTTCAATTTAGGCAATTTTTCGTGAGCTGGAACCAATTACCCAAAAACCCATTGAAACAATGGTTTCGGTTAACGAGATTTTCGGTTAACGAGCAACCTGCTGGAACGGATTGTGCTCGTTAACCGAGGGACCACTGTACTGAGTTATCAAGGGTTTACTGTATTCCCAATTTTTATAAATTTACGTCACTTTATCCTCTTTGTCATTGATGATCTTGTTAGTTGCCTGGGAGTTCAGTCGCATCTCTGTTTTGCACTGTTGGCAAGTAGTGACTCCGGAATTTTCCTCCTCCTCTCCAAAAATGACCCAAAACTGCTAGAATAAATCATAAAAATGATACATCATAAAATACAAGAGCACATATTCTATGTACAAAAAATAGCTCTCTCTGCCCTCAATAAATATTGTGGATGATGCAGAGAGTGAACCACATAGTTCTGCCACCCACCCAGCTGACTCAAGAGACATGTGTGGCTGCTGTGCTGCATGTATGCTGTGATATCACATAGGAGAACAGAGTGCAGCTGAGCAGTTACAGCCCAGCTGCGCTCCACATACGTTCACCTCCCACACATACACACCCAGGCGTTTCCTTATTCTTATTTTAGTTATATATTACAGTTTCTTTATTTCTAAGTCACAAAAGAGTATTGAAATGATTCTTCCACAACTTTTATAATTTCATTACATGTAATAATGGTAACATGTGTAGCCATCTCACAGCTGACTGACAATGTGTTACGAGAATTTACACAGTACAGTACTATTACTTAGGCACACAAATATGCATGCATGCACACACATACACACACACCTCTCTTTTCCAGTGCTTTTTTTTTTTTTTTAGCCCACCAAAGCACAGGTCAATGACCCACATCAGGGTCTGGGGGCAAAATAAAAATAATAATAATAATAATAATAATAATAATAATAATAATAATAATAATAATAATAATAATAATAATAATAATAAATAATAAATAATAATAAATAATAAATAATAATAATACTAATAATAATAATAATAATAATAATAACAATTAATAACAATAAAAATTAATAAAAATTATTTAAAAAAAAATTAAAAAGATTAAATAAAATATATTATAATAATAATAATAATAATAATAATAATAATAATAATAATAATAATTATAATAAAGTACCATCAATACAAAAAAAATCAATAGTGAGAAACGATATACTATATGTATGTTGTGTTGTCAAAGTAAGAGAAACAATTGAGACCCTGCAATTGTGTGTAAATGAGGCAGAAAGTCAGATCAGCAACCAGGGACTTGGTTACAATTTTTGTGATGCCATATGGCAGCCATTATGTGTGTTTATGTTCAGGATAGTATTAATAAAGTTTGCTGTTGTGTTATTATGTGTAGATCTTTGTTACATTGGTTTTGGGAGACTTAAAGACTGATATGACTTAAAACTTGTTTACCATCAGGATCCTGTTGCCAGTGAGCCTGGTCATCGTCCCCACGACACATGTTGAGAAGCTGCGATTGGAAGAGACGGGCAAAATGTGCAAAATTGGAAGAGCTGGGATGTAGAGACAACAGGTGGCGAATTCTTGCCCCAAGAGCTTGACCATAAGACCAGCCAGACGTAAGGTGGTTCTCTTCCCAAATTCGGATCATCTGATGAATATTACACGTGAGTTATAGTCTGCAATAAACTGAGTAATATTATACAAAAGTAAGTAAATTGGTGACAGCTAAAATGCATACTGTACTCATTTTCTAGGTAAACAAAAAAAAAGCATGGGAGGGTACAAATTATACTGTAGCTCTAAAAATAAAAAAAATAAAATAGGATTCATTATAAAATTCCATTTTATTATGGAGGCAAAAACAGACTTGGCCAACAAGATCCACGAAGCTGAAACACTCCCTGGCAGAGCTCGTACTTTGTCTGAAGGTCTTGACATATTTAATGACAGCATTACTATATACAAGTACTGGACCGTACAGTAGTCTTCTCATCCGGATGAACCAGGAAGGAAGATTTATTTCTCCCTAATGTGGCAAAGTTGTCTCACATAAGTGACACTCTGGGTCTGTGGTCTACTTCTCTGACCACAAGGAAAGGTTCTTCTGGTGCTCACTAATGTTGCAGCATGGTAAAGTACTCGCTTATTCATTTACTACTGTCATCCTTCAATCATTTATTCTTAACCTAAAGACCATCAGCAAATGTCCTGTGTTATTGTTAACAAGCTAGCAACCCCATGGTGGGTGTAGTTATTGGCAACCCCCTGGTGGGTGTAGTTATTGGCAACCCCCTGGTGGGTGTAGTTATTGGCAACCCCATGGTGGGTGTAGTTATTGGCAACCCCCTGGTGGGTGTAGTTATTGGCAACCCCCTGGTGGGTGTAGTATTGGCAACCCCATGGTGGGTGTAGTTATTGGCAACCCCCTGGTGGGTGTAGTTATTGGCAACCCCCTGGTGGGTGTAGCGCATGGGTAACCCTATGGTGGGTGTAGTTATTGGCAACCCCATGGTGGTAGTTGGCTGGCACCCCATGGTGGGTGAAGGCTGGCACCCCCTGGTGGTGCAGCGCTGGCAACCCCATGGTGGGTGTAGTTATTGGCACCCCATGGTGGGTGTAGTTATTGGCAACCCCTGCGGGTGTAGTTACTGGCACCCCATGGTGGGTGTAGTTGGCAACCCCATGGTGGGTGAAGTGGCTGGCAACCCCCTGGTGGGTGTAGGCTGGCAACCCCATGGTGGCATGAAGCACAACCCCATGGTGGGTGTAGTTATTGGCAACTTCTGGTGAAGGCTGGCACCCCATGGTGGGTGAAGCATTACACCCCATGGTGGGTGAAGCATTGGCAACCCCATGGTGGTGAAGTATTGGTAACCCCATGGTGGGTGTAGTTATTGGCAACCCCCGGTGGGTGTAGTTATTGGCAACCCCATGGTGGTGTAGCTATTGGCAACCCATGGTGGGTGTGAAGTTATTACAACCCCATGGTGGGTGTAGTTACAACCCCATGGTGGTGTAGTTAGCTGGCAACCCCATGGTGGGTGTAGTTATTGGCAACCCTATGGTGGGTGTAGCTATTGGCACCCCATGGTGGGTGTAGTTACTATAACCCCATGGTGGGTGTAGTTATTGGCAACCCATGGTGGCAGGGCAGATCCAGAGGAAGTCCTGGGGTCCAGGACTTCCTTTTCATCAGAAATTCCCAAACCTTTTTCTTTAATGCAGTATTGTACTCAAGCCTTTTTGCATAGTAAAAAGTAATTACTATGGACCTCAGAATATCTCCTAATATCAAGTGTACATGACTTCAAAAAGCCCATGATACTGGTCAGATTTGAAAAAAATTTCTGGGGGGCTCACTTCACCCACCCAAACCCCCCCCCCTCGGGTGGGCTCATTTTGTTCGCCATGTTTCCCCACCCAAAACTTCTTGGACCCACCCCACCACCTCTTTTTTATATTCCTGGATCAACCCTTGAACAGGCTGAAGCCTCAGGCCCGTGATTTTTATAGGCCTGTGGCAAACAAGAATTCAACAATTTGAATATTTAGAAAATAGCTCATGCATTGTTCAGGTTAAAAAAATGTCCTTAACTGCACCGTAATGTTAAAAAAATATTATATTTTTGGTTATTAAGACAGCAAAATTCCATGTTATAAAACAAACTTCTATAAAGTTCTATTACCATCTAAGAATATCAAGTAATCTTTATAAATTTTACTTTATTATGCATTTAGACAAATGATATGAGCATCATTATTGCCATGGGTAATCCGCTTTCACCAGTATTGAGCAACATACATATGGAATATTGGGGGAAGAAACTACTACCGTATATACTCGTGTGTAGTTCGAGTTTTTAAGACCAAATTTTTAGGCAAAAAATTGGGGGTCGTCCTATACATGCGTGATAGTTTTGTTAGGTTAAACCCGTGCATGATGGGAAGGGCAAGGAGTAACTTTTAGCTTCAGACATGAAAAATATTTACCATTTACTGCCAGTAAACAATGGAAACGTAAAATATGTACCAATTAGTAATGAAAAGTTGTGCAGTTCCTTCAGCAAATGAAGCTCACCAACTTACAATAGGCTAAATTACCTTACAATGGGCTTTCAGTAGTCTATGTTGAAGTTCTCAGCACAGGCTAACTTATCATATCATATACGGTATCACAGTTCTCATTGATCTACAAAAAATACCGGTAATAAAAACCTTTTCGATATTTCACTCTTAATATAATACCCGGTAATCTACTTCAACCTCCTATTGTTTACAACGACGCATGACGCACCACCAGCTGTTGCATATCAGCTAGACGGTACATGTGTTTTTCAAATCGTTTTCAGTTAAAAAAACTGTTACATCACATGTATATTTTACCTTAACTGTACCTGAATGAATATGTTCTCAGAAATAAATAGTAGTTTTGCTGAAACGTGATGTATTTTAATGTAAAATAGGATAAAATACATGACGAAAACAAAAGATTATACCTAACCTTCCGATGTTCAAGAAAAGTTACTCGTTATTTTTAATAGTTTTTGGTTAAAATACTGTTATATTACAATGGTATTCTATTCATACTGTGCTTGATATAATGCATTCACGGAAATGTAATATTTTTGCTGAAATGACGTACGTATTACAGTGGAAAGTAGGATAAAATCGTGACGAAAACAATGACTTTCGCTTTTTTTCGTTCAAAAGATGTTACCGTAATCGCTTTTCGAATGGTTTCCAGTTAAAACACTGTTGTATTACAATAATATTCTATCCTAATTGACTTGAATAAATACTACGATACCATATTTCTGAATATTTTCATTAAACTCCATCAAAATCATTTTCCTTGTCATCGTCTGCAGCACCAAACAGCTTCTCCCAGTCCTGTCCTTGAACAGGGCTAGAGGGTACGTGTTTTTCGAATCGTTTTCAGTTAAAAAACTGTTACATCACACGTATATTTTACCTAAACTGCGCCTGAATGAATATATTCTCGGAAATAAATAGTAGTTTTGCTGAAACGTGATGTATTTCAATGTAAAATAGGATAAAATACATGACGAAAACAAAAAACTTTACCTAAGCTTCCGATGTTCTTGAGATGTTACTCGTTTCTTTAATAGTTTTCGGTTAAAATACTGTTATATTACAATGATATTCTATTCATAATGTGCTTGATATAATACATTCACGGAAATGTAATATTTTTGCTGAAATTACGTACGTATTACAGTGGAAAGTGGGATAAAATCGTGACGAAAAGAATGACTTTCGCTTTCTTTCGTTCAAAAGATGTTACCGTAATTGCTTTTCGAATAGTTTAGTTAAAAAACTGTTGTATTACTATACAGTGGTCCCTCGGTTAACGAACGCCTCGGTTAACGAAATTTCGGTTAAAGAACTGCCTCCCATAAGATTCTTAAATTCGGTTAACGAACAAAAATTCAGTTAACGAATTTCTTACGAACCGACCTCAACATGTTTTCACTTGCACTGGCCGGTCAACCAGCTTTAGTAATAGTCCGCCAATACATTAATCGGTTCTAGGGCTTAAATTCCTTACTATTTTAGTAAATATCAAGAAGTTTATACTATTCAATAATTTTAAAAGTTTAATATTCAATTTTTTAGTCATTTTAACAATTATTGAACATAATTGAAGGTAAAGTGACTAGTTCAATGTGCATCCAGCCTCTTAACACAGCAAACAGGCGTTAGTCTCTCTGTTTTCACTGGAGGTAACATCTTGCTTGAGACTCTCTTCAACTAAACGCTTTTTTTCTGTGTTTCCAAGCAAATTATTGGTCATTTTGAAATATATTTTACATATTGACAATATATAATGCAGTGCAGTGTTGATTTAAAGAAAATAATCTTGAAATACACCAAGAGAACTAAAATTTTATGGGTGAAATGGTGCCAAGGGGTGACTTCTCTTCCACCCCAATGCCTTCTCTTCTTCCTTCTCCTCCACCCCCATTCTAATTCCCATAATCATCATCATCATCCAGGAGCCTTCTACATACACACCTCAAAGTAAGTGAACTTTTCTACCTTTTTTGTTCAATTTAGGCAATTTTCGGTGAGCTGGAACCAATTACCCAAAAACCCATTGAAACAATGGTTTCGGTTAACGAACAACCTGCTTGAACGGATCGTGTTCGTTAATCGAAGGACCACTGTAATATTCCCTCCTAATTGACTTGAATAAATACTTGAATGGAAATATACAATATTTATGTTGAAACTACCCGCGTTTAAGTGTAAAGTGTCGTAATAATAAATGGTAAACAATTTGCCTTCGGCACTCGGTGCTTCAGACACGGCGAGCCTCAGTTTATAAGACGTAGAACGTTTTTAGTGAAGGTTTTGTTGTTCCATTACCCTCAAAAACCTGGGTCGACCTATAAACGAGGAATATCATAAATTAACGATTTCTTGGTCAAAATATCAGGGTCGACATATAAACGAGGGGGGTTATAGACGAGTATATACGGTAAGTAATATTTTACCACCTTAGCAGTTTGGTTTAGATATGTAGATGATGTAATATGTCTTTGACCATATAATGAGAACTTAGAAGTTTTTCTACTGCTACTTAAAAATTTAGTCCCCTAGATCAAATTCACTGTGGAATTAAAA